AGAATTGAAACCAGCGCCAGAACCTAACTTCATGATAACTGCTACAGAAAATGCAGTTGACACCCACAGCGGTCAAAGTTGCATAATTCCATCTCTAATCCGCACATTTAATTTTTATATTATAATATGTATTGTCGGGTGTATATCCACAAGTCCGTTAGATTTACTAGTCTGCTAACTCAGTGTACTGATTAAGTAGTCTCGAGCAAAAGAGTCATCGTATCCAAATTTTTCCTGGAATTAGGGGAACTCTGTGTCCGTGACATAAACCTGGAAGTTTTGCTTGTTCGTATCCAGAACATATCACGATATGCTCGGAGATAGAATGTAAACATACTAAGACTGCGGTTGTTCACGGGCACCCACATGGCGCGGGAGTATCGCCAACCCACCATTGGCCATCTCGGCGGGCGGCATCGCTCCATCATCACAGCTCCTCCCCATCCATCCACCATCGCCCGTCATATTCTCCCTCCATTTATTCCCCCTTCGCGTGAGGTTTGGCGCGTTGAGCTCGCCAGGAGCGCCGCCTCTCAACCATGGCTTCCAGTATGTCTCCATCAAACCCCCGTGCTTGCGCCAATGCTAATTGTATTCCGACTATCCAGATCGAGAGGAGCGGCTGCAAATGCGGCAGCGCGGAGCAGCGTACGCGCATCACCATCCGGAACCCCGCGACGAACTCACCCAGACCCCGATTTTGCTAACGCTGTGACTGTCTAATAGGTCACGCAAGACCAAGGCGATAGACTTTGGCTTTTCCTTTGGCCTGCCTACTGCCTCCGATGAACCGTCTCAATCCTCGTCGCGACCGGGCGATGTCGGTATTTCGCTGTTCCCTCCTGCACCACCACCGGCCTCGACAACAGATACTGCTGTAAACGCGACGGCGCCGGTATTAGCAACGGAACCGGAGATCACACAACCTCCCCATATATCACCGGAGAGAAAGCTGTCATCGCAAGGAGGGCATATTCGCCGAACACCAGGAAGCGCGCGCAATAAACTCCCGCCGCGTCCGTCGCCTTACGATTTACCTACGGAAGATCCGCCGGAAGTCGGTCCTAGTCGCAAGATTAGGAAACTTGGTGCGTAAAAAGATAAATGATGTGCTATATGATGCTAACAGGGCAAAGATCATCCTAGAAGAACTTCGACGATATCATTCAGCGCGCGGGATGAAGAGAGTTCGCAGCCCCTCAACAATGGCGTCGAATCAATTGCCGCGACCCAGTCGTCCCCCAAACCGACGAGTCCACCTATTACCAATGGCACACAACATCCTCAAGAGGTACCGTCAACTACACCTGTTGTACAGGAGGATCCCGCACAAATACAATTACCGCAGTCAGCAGAGCCTGTAGGACCTGACCATGCCACGGAACCGCCGCCGGAGTCTCAACAAGAACCTCAAGCGGAAGCGACGCCTTCTCCGCCAGGCGAGAAAACAAGAGACAAGCGCAAGAGACGTACATCCCAGGATAGTGAAGCTTCTTCGCGTCGTTCTCCGCGTCGCTCTCCGCGGGGCTCGCCGCAGAACGCCATGAGCCCCAAGGCAGCAAATGTGGATATTACGCAGGTGTCAGAGGCAATGGATATATCACCGGATGGGAAATCACCAGTCACAACATCACCAAAACTTGCTGCGCCTGATGCTACCGGGAGCAAACAGGACGGTACCGAGCCTCAGGCTGCTAGTGAAGCGCAGATTTCTGCAGCACAAATATCCAGCGAAGAACAAGTTACCACTGCAGGCGATATCACACAACAACACATTGTTAGCGAGGCTGAAGCCCCCGGATCTCCAATTACCACCGAACCTCAAGAGGCAGCTGAGCCTCAAGATGCTGTCGAACCTGAAGAGACGAATGGCATCGAGAAAGCGGCCAAGCCTCATGCTACTACAGCACATACAAAGTCTCCAACACCTCCAAGGAACAAACGAACGAGAGGCCAACGTGCAGCATCCGTTCAACCGCAGTCAATAACTGCCAAACAGTCTAGGCTGGCCAGAGCCGGCTCAGCAGAAAGCGCCCCGGCTCAGGGCATGGAGAGAAAGAGGCTTCGTGGACGTATCGCGAAGGGCCAGGAGCCTACGCCCGATATTCCTACAATAGAAGAAGAACCCGCCGATGACACTGGCGTGAATATTTCATCCGAGCCAAAGGACGATCTTGTGGCCAACAAGGGAAGTCGGCAATCACGGTTGCCAAGACCTACGGTGGACAAGAAGCCGACGCGCGCTGGACGCCCCGGAAGAAAACCGGCACGATCACAGGATATCCAGGAAGAAGTGCCTCTGCCCGAGCAAGAGGCGCAGCAGCCGGAAGAGCAGGAGCCTGAGCCTGAGCCAACGTCCAAGGCCGTCCCAGAACCCGAAACAGATCTACAGCCGGAAGCACCGACAGAACCCCTACCATCAAGGCCTGTCAGACGTGGTCGCGGCAGGAAACCATTGCCAGAGACTACAGTCGATGAAACACAGGCTCCGAACGAAGAACTACCAGCACAAACCGAGCAAGCTGAGCCTGAAACAGAAATACAATCGGCCCAACCAACAGAACCTTCTAAGCCCGCCAAACGTGGCCGTGGCAGGAAACCGCTGTCAAGGAAGGAGAACGATGCAGCGCAAGCTGAGGCAGTCGAGCCGGAACCTGTACCAGAGCCCGAAGAAGAACCACAGCCGGAGCCTCCAGCAGAACCCGAACCGTCCAGGCCTGCCAAACGTGCTCGCGGCCGTAAACCGGCGTCAAAGGAGAATGCTGAGACAACACAGGCTCCGGATGAAGAAGCTACAGCACAAGCAGAGCCGGCGGAGCCTACCGAAGAAGCACCTCCACCTAAGAAGCGCAAGCCCAGACAGCCTCGGGGAGAAACAGTGCCAGTAACTGTCCATCGCTTTGTGAACGCCGCTGTACTTGGAGAAGGACCAGAACCAGAGGAATCCTCTGGCGAGGAAGAGGAGTCAGCCGAGGGACTTGCCGCGAAAGAGAAGACCAAGCTTGTGAGCCGAGGCGGCGTCAATGCAGCAGACGTACTAAGCCAGATCTGTCGCGAGACATTAGAAAAGACGCTCGCGACACTCAAGAACGGGATCGCCAACGAAGGCAACGCCGCCCGGCGTGCAGAATGGACACGCAAGAAGAAGGCCGTCGAGGCCTACGGCACGGAACTTGAAGGCCGTCTTTTCGAGCTGAGCGAGATGCTCGACAGTAACTTTGTCCTCGGACGCCAAATCAAGAAATCCAAACGGGAGATGATGGACCTACGGAGCCGACTATACCGAGTCCGGAAGGAACGAGAGGAAGTGGCATTGCAAATGGACGCCGTACGGAGGAAGCACAGCGAGGAAGAGAGTGCCAAAATGGTAAGCAAGCAAGCAGAATGTCAGATATACCCTAAGCATTGCTAACAAACTCCCCACTAGGCCCGCTCAACCATCAACAACTCCCTCCACAGTCTGGACCTCGCCCTCGAGCGCAGCCGCAATCGCCCCGTCGACGAACCCACCTCCCAGATCCCCGAACCCTCCTCCACAGCCGGACTGGAGTTCCTTGTCCGCAACGTTGCGGAGAACGTGAGCTCCATCGCCCCAGGAGCTCAAGGCGGTCTGTTACATCAGATCAAGTCATTCAACGCACAGCTCGAGGCTACTGCGCGGAGACTTGAGAGTTGATTTATTGATAACTCGATATGAGTACTTGTCTAACCTCTTGATTCATATGTTCGTTTGTGTGATGATTGTAAAGCTGTGTCTGTGTTTGTGTCTGTGTTTTTTCTTTTCGAAATAAATACCCCCGGCATTGTTGTCTACGGAGTGAGGGTCATGTTCTTTGCTAGTTGGATAGGAATCATAAATAGGGATAAGGATAATGGGATCAAATGATGATGGATAGATATATCCAGCTTTTCGTACTACCTCACTATTAGATCTTTTACACCATATACAACACCAACACTATTACCATCACCACAAACTGCAAATTATTTGATAACCTATAGTAGATACTAGATAGACCCATCATCACCTCATGACCCCACAAAATAATCAACTATCAACACCTATAACTAAGCAACCCGCAAAATAACTAAGCATTTCCACCCCCTCGGCCTAAGCAGAGACCGAGCGAAGGGAACCCGGTCTCCGCCCGTAAATCCGGCAGAGTAAGTAGTACGTAGTAGGTTTTGATTTGACCAGTAGGTGTGCATTTGTCAGCTAACGTAAGCCATGTGGCCGCCACCCGCAAATTCAACCTTATGTGGGGCTGAGGAAATTCTGCAGGAATTGTTTTCTTTGTCTTGTCTTATCTTGTCTAAGTCTGCTTAGTGCTTATTTGTAGATTGTTGGGTAGTTGGTGTTTCTATCTACTATCTTCTATACTGGGATGGGAGTTATCTTTCGATGTGATATGTATGTGAATACTAAATAGATATGAGGTCCATATGATCGATATAATGCTGTTGTGTTGCGCTATGTTTGGTTCGGTTCGGATCCTAGGGGAGTAGAATGTGCCGATGGATCCGTTGAGAGAGGGAGAGAGAGAGAGAAGTTCATGCAGGGTCTTCCTTCGTTGTATCAACAAGATATTTCAGCTTCGTTGATGATAAGTTAGGAGAATCATTTTCGAAGGATTTATGTCTAACTAGAAGTAGAATTGACTTTTTTAAATCCTTAATGCTTGTATGTAATCAGCGATGCTACGCTATATTTCCCATCTCTTCTCCCTGATTAGAAATCCAAGGTGTGGATCCTCTATCTCCATCTGGTTCCATGATTTTTTTTTTCCCCCCTTGACCCCTCGTCCCGAGATATGGGTGTATTGGTATGGCGTGCCACAGGGGATTAGTAGATGTTTCCAGATAAAAATCGAGTCAGTGTGTGTGGCCCTGTTTTGGGGGGTATATAAGTAACAGCTTTCATCTCCTCATTTCTCTCTCTCTTCTGTATCAATAAACACACCTTTTTAGATATAGAACAGTCGTTCATATAGATCATCATCATGACCAAGTTGTTCTCCCCCATCCAGGTCGGCCGCATGCCCCTGGCCCACCGTCTCGCCATGGCTCCCATGACTCGTTTCCGTGTCGACGACAACCACGTCCCCCTTGACCTTGTGACGCAGTACTACGAGCAGCGTGCTGCTGTCCCCGGAACCCTCTTGATCACGGAAGCCACCATCATTGCGCCCCCTGCTGGCGGATTTCCCAATGTTCCCGGCATCTGGAACGATGCGCAGATTGCGCAGTGGCGCAAGGTGACCGACGCCGTCCACAAGAAGGGCTCGTACATCTACATGCAGCTCTGGGCCCTGGGTCGCGTCGCCAACCCGCAATTCCTGAAGGCTAACGGCAACTATGACGTCGTGTCTAGTAGTCCTGTTGCTCTCGACGATGGCCCTGTCCCCCGCGAATTGACCGAATCGGAGATCCACCAATACATCGCCGACTATGCGCAGGCAGCGAAGAACGCCATTGCGGCTGGATTTGATGGTGTTGAGATCCACGGTGCCAACGGGTACTTGATTGATCAGTTCACACAGGACACTGTTAACAAGCGTACCGATGCCTGGGGTGGAAGCGTTGAGAAGCGTTCCAGATTCGCTCTTGAGGTTATCCGTGCTGTGTCTGATGCTATTGGCGCGGACCGCACTGCTATCCGCTACAGCCCTTTCAGTACTTTCCAGGGTATGCGCATGGATGACCGCTTTGCTCAGTTCACTTACCTGGCTGAGAAGACCGCCGAGTTCAAGCTGGCCTTCGTGCATCTTGTCGAGCCACGCATCGCCGGAAATGCTGATATGGGGACGGTTCCAGAGGAAGATTCCCTGGACTTCTTCGTCAAGGCGTACCGCGACGCTAGCCCTCTCGTTGTTGCCGGTGGCTACAAGGCTGACTCGGCCAAGGAGGCGGTTGATGTGCAGTACAAAGACCACGAGATCCTTGTTGGAATTGGCCGCCCCTGGACGGCCAACCCTGACCTGCCGTTCATGATTCAGAACAACGTTCCTCTCCGCCCCTACCAGAGAGAGGTCTTCTACTTGCCCAAGGACCCCAAGGGTTACATTGATTATGACTTCAGTGAAGAGTTCAAGGCCGTCAAGGTTGCTGCTTGATCGGGTCTGAGATTGTGATTCAAACTTTGTGGCATGATTGTTGAGCGCTTGCATATAGTATGTTGATTATATTTGTATATATCATAATAGACATGACATTAATGTTCTTCTTAAATCAGTGTTTGTACTGTAAACCATGTTAGTACCGCTAAGATCACTAGGAAGATACGCGCTTACTCTAAACTCAAGGTTCTCCTTGTCTGTAAGGTCCAAAAACTCGGAATTCTCTTCATGTTGGAGCCCTGCACACTTTCTGTCGCGTCGTCCATTCTCCCAGATGTAGTAGCACTTGAGAGCCACGGTGAACACTATCGCAACAGAGACAGTGGCTACAATGGCGACCTTGGCTGGCATGTACTCTGGCTCGTCCTCAGTGCGAAACGACAACGGGCCTAGAATGTTGCCCAGACAGAATGCCATCAGGACGATTGCATTCATGGTCACTTTCTTAGTATGACCGGCGACGTTCGCGCCGACAGTGGAATAAAGCAAGGGAAGTGCTGAGCCCACGCAGTTGGTCAGGTAATTTCCTGCCAACTTGGCGCCTTTGTTGTCACTAGGAGCGAATGCCATGAGACAACCTCCAAGGAGGCCAGAGCATAGAATGCCGATGATGCAGAAACACCGCTGGTCGAAGCGGCCTGCCAAGTATGTACCGAGTAGGATGCTTATGACGCTGACGACACCGCCCGGTATAGTAAGTAGCTCAGTCTCCTTGGTGTCGAATCCGAAATTCTTGATGATCAAGGCCGAGAAGCTGCTGATGGCTGCATTACTGATATTCCCGGAGGCAACTATTACAGCGATCAGGTAAGTCTGAGGATCTTTGAAAGCCTCGAAGAATTGTTCCCATTTGAAATGCTTGTTCTCGATACCCGTCCGATTCTCGCGAAGACGCTCAATTACCATTATCTTCTCTTCATGGCTGAGGCGGGACTTCATAGGATTGTCTGGAAAGACAATAATAACTGTAATACCTACTGCAATAGTAATGAGCCCGAAGATCAAGAACATGATCTGCCAGGAGTAGAACTTGTCTCCTTCATAGAAAAGCAGCCCGTATGCAACGAGGGCGCCTAATATGGTCGCGGTACCTGTGCCCAGGTACCAGAAACCGATGCGCTTAGGTTGTTCTTCACTAGGTTAGTGAATATGAATTGATCAGCGGGGATTATTGCATACCGTTTCTCTTGTACCACATGGAGGTTATCAGAATCAACCTAATCTCGTTAGGCAAGTCCTTGATACGTCAGATGGTGTCTTACGCAGGTGCTACAGCACTTTCGAAACATCCTAGGAGCACTCGAAGTACGACAAGTCCGGGGAAGTTCTTCGCAACACAATTCAGAGTTGTCAAAAGGCCCCAGAGGGTCACTTATCCGTCAGCATCGCCAATATGGGGATTATTGATTGTCTTACCATTCATTCCCAAGTACTTTGCAGTTGGCAAACGCTGCATGAAATACCCAGTTGGAAGTTCAAAGAAGAGGTATGATACGTAGAACGCCAAAGCGAGGTTCGAGAATTGGTCTGTCCGCATGCCAGTGTCATCAAGAAGGCCCATGACTGACGCATAATTGACTGCAATCGTTTAGCTTCTGGGTCGAATAGAGCACGCTGTCGCGACACACTGACTTAGAATCTTGTCTAGGTATTGCAGAAAGTAGATCGCCCACATTAGGGGCACAACCATCCAGTCGATCTTGCGAACCAGCCTTTTCTCATCGATATCAGAGAAAGTTGCCACCTCGCCAGCATGAAGGTACTCCAATGCTGCATCGGCCTGGCCAAGGGATACATGACCGTCGACCTTCGATTCGGTGTCAACTGCACTTGTGGCGACCACCTTGTCATCTTTTCCTGATATAGGATCTGTCATGGTTTCAGACATATTCCTCGTCTGATGTTCTTCAATGGTTGTACGCGGCTCAAGATTACTTCGACAGAATATGAGGTACTTCACAGGTAAATCCATCTCTCTGCACCTTTCTTATACCCCACTGGCTCTCAAGGATTGAACTGCTATCGCCCCGATAACCATGAATTGCTTGTACAGGCGCCTGCCAATTGTGAAAAGGTAATGTGCTCGGCCGACTGATTGCACATCCTGATCGCTTTGATTGGCCCCCAGCTTTGGTCTTAATAAATTAGCGGCTATTTAGCAACATGACTTGGGATGGTTTGACCCCTTCGAAGATCGATAACCCCGCGGGCTTCTATATCAAACAGTATCTGATCAGGCTATCGGAGGATCCGATCCCTGCAAAAGCTCGAAGCCTCCCATTTAGCTGAGTCTACGCAGCCGATATCGTTGCTTGACCGTGAGTTCTAACAGAGAATGGGCAATGAGCCACGTGTGATCACGCTTGTAAGTCGTAGCCAGCTTTGAGTGACAGCTGGCCGGTCGATATCAAGCAGCATCACCTGACAGACCGCACACAATGCACCTTCTCTTTGAAGTTAGCCAGGAAGTAAAGATACTGGTAGAGATTGATATCACTGATAAAGACCCTGAATGTCAAGTCCATCAGGATGATCGCTCCAGAAAGAGAAGGTCGTAAGCCGGTTTTCACGGGGATATCGTGTCTGCAGCTTATCAACCCCGCACGACGCGATTCTGTCAAGATAATGCAGACACCTTATCGCTCTTCGACGCATCACGTCCTCGGATCTTCTTTCGATAATGAATCTAGACTTGGCCAGCTACCCAGTCATGGCTCAATGAATATGTGGTAAAAACCATCTGGGTGCGACGCGACCGGGATAGAGCATAACAGCAATGCAGATGAATCAGAATGCATGAATGCAGCCAAAGCCTCTATGCAGTTAGTCTGTCTATCACTTCAGTTATGATTAGTATGCTTTCAGAGTCATCGTGAAGCAGTTCGCCTTCGCGTACTCGCTTCTGCAGAGCAGGATCACAGTCGACGCAGCAGTTCCCAGCAGATACCATTGTGGCGATGGTATCTATGAAAGTATCTTATTTTGCATCTTGAGCTGTGCTGGCTATGGAAGAGTAAGTGAGCAATTGAGAGAAGAGAGTTGAGATCAAAAAGTGGCAGTATTGATGGTCGGCGAGTTTTTGCTTGTTTTGGCTATTTTGTTTCTGATTGACATGCACGTGCTGCATCAGCAAAAGCAACAAGCAAAGCTCGTCCATCCAGTGACAGCAAATCCCGATCACTGCAGCTCATGATCTTCGGAGCAGCATCTGGTCTATCAACAAATTTGTCATTTTGCCCTCAGTCAATATGCCACTATCGAGTCGGTGAAGCGCATGAAGAACGACAGTTCGTCTCGAAGTCTTCTCACCACCCCGCCGCTTTCCTACTATCGAAGGATAGAGCCGAGGAATCCACTTGATTCCACTTGGACCCTCGATAGTCACTGACGCCAATTCGGTGATGGCGCTGCCTCTGCTGGCGAGGAAACCGGGAGGATGCCAGACCGCTTCTTCTGTAGATCTTCCTCCCCACATCAACAAACACCATCACTCGATCCAACCATCATCCCACCAAAGATCGTCACAGACGCCGGCTGTGATTGACTTTGAACGAATTGTAACTATGTTAGCTTGCCACCTGGTTGGCATGTGGTGATGGGGCTAAGATAGCCCGAAGGCGCGTGGGTGAAAGACAAAGATCTACAAGGCGTCGTGCTTAGACGGCACGGGATTCTAGCAAACTATCTAGCCATCTACTGACTAGTAAGTGAAGATTACTTGCTGTTTTTGCTTCGCTGCATGAACTATGGAGCCGTGAGCACTTGGGCTGTATCCTACTTACGCTTCAGATTCGAAGATTCAACTCAATGTGGACCGGCTCAACCTGGCCACGGACAAACCCGGTTTCCTGCCCCAGCCGCCTACTTTCCCCAACCTCGATACAATGGCCATTGTCCAGGACCTACTCCACCGCTGTAACTCAAAAATGGGCGTAACAGAGATAACGAAGGTGAATGAAGAGCAGAAAAACGCACACACAAAAATTGCATCATTATTGTATATCGAGTGGGTTCTAAACCTAGAGTGAGCAATACGGCAAGTGTACTATCAGAAGCGCTGCCGGGACTTCTGGAACCGTCTCCCAGCCAGTCATATCCGAGAATTCAAGTTACCGCATCTCCGCAGGCGGGGGGACCAGGCTCAAGAAGGACAAAGAGAGGCCTTCGACGAAAAAAGCAAGAAGAACATGCGAAAGTGGAATATCCCCTCCAAGCTACAGTGGACCCCAATACGAGTCCTTCCAAGAGTGGCGCATAGCTTCTTGGAAGGAGAGCTCCAGATTTATTCAAACTTGAACGTAAGATTTTGGTTTGTTTCTCCGCTCCGCCGAGCCGAGGGTATAGAGCAACACGTCTCATCATTTGTCGTTTGCCCAGGCAGGATCTATACCAAGCCACCTCTACGGATGGCCGCGGGGAACGGGAAATCCCCAGACCCCAAGAAGAACCCAAGGATGATGGCCATCCACAGCCCAATTTCCAGGGTCTCGGTACCAGCAGCGTGGATGTGGAACCGACCAAACATCAAACAAGGGCGGTCCGGACGCAAGGAACATCATCCATGGTTTGACCTTGCAAGTGCTGCTCTACGAGCAAGTCTCAGAAGCTGTGCCCGATTTGTCATCTCTGAACCCGTGAGATCACCCGTAACTAGCGGAATTAGGCGTCGGCAGCGTTAGAGAGCATCGTGTCAGCTCGATCAACAATATCAGATTCAAAACCCCCTCCTCCGATAAGCCGTCGATCCCCCTCACTTCTCATCATCCCGTGACCTTGTGCAGGCTGTCTACCCCAACATCCCATGCAAACACGATCCACGACCGTGCCCATTGCCCATCATCAATAGTCAGATCCTTTGCCCAGACAGTTGATCGTCGACAGGGTCATACTCATTTCATGTGTGTGGCCCGTACCAAGATGCAATGAGTGGATGTCCTTCCCAAAGGAGCATGTCTGCATACAGGGATATCCATTGAACCGTATCCGAAAAAGAAAAG